GCCCGGAAGTAGGATTCGTCACGTCATCACTTAACGACCGGATTACTGAAGGTTACTCACCACTGAGCTAACATTGTTAGCTGGCGTTAGCTGAGGTTAGCTCATAGACTGCTTTCAGAACTGCATATGATTATTTGCAGTTAGCAGGTTGTTAATGCTATTCATCAAGTCTAACAGTCTGCAGTCTATGAACTAACCTCAGCTAACGCCAGCTAACAATGTTAGCTCGGTAGTGAGGAGCCTTCAGTAATAGTAATAAGTCACACAGCAATAGTACATCGAAGATACTGAAGCGGCACATGACGCAGGTAGCTACCACAGCTAAAACAAGCTAAGTGCAGTGGGCTAACGTTAGTTTTTTAAAAAGAACTTACTTCCAGATGTTTCTTTAGGTTGGAGTCTTTTGATGCTGAGAGCAGCTTGGTTGCTGACAAACAGAGTTTGCATTGTACACTCAGATTTGATCCCTTTCTTCTTTAAATGTGAAGTGGAGTCAGAATTTCCAAGTAAGAAATGCATTCCTGCCGGTGCACTGCTGCCTCTGTTGTGCTGGCTCTGGGTCCATTGTGTAACTGAGGACACCAACATTAACAGGATGCTTACATTAGAGCCTCTTAATGTAAGTTTAAGTTTCCGACAATGTGTGTAATTATCAAAATGTCAGTTTTGGCCAGCGGTCATAGGTTCCTTCTAATAATATGACGCGAAACTGGAATAAAATGTATCCATGGACTAGAAGACTTTATTGAAGAAGGCACACTGATACGGCACAAACACCAAGCCCTCTAAAAAGCATCTGGACTAGCCCAGGTTAACCAATCAAAATGAAAACATAACCCTCCACACAAACAAACATACAATAACATTAGAACACATAACAAGCATATACATATTTCCAACACATACTATAAACAAATCAATAACATACTCTTCAACCATTTCTATCTAAATTGAAACCCTTCTTAACCAGACTCCCCTAACCCTGCACACTGGTCTGCTCCAGCGGCTCATCAGCAGGTGATTGAGCTGCTTTTACTCTTTTGTTCCACATCCTGCAAGAAGCAACCAGGAAGGGTGAGTACTGCTAACACTTCTCTTTTTACACATACCAAAAGTTTAGGTTACAGACAAATGATTAAATGTGAACAGCTTTGGCTCCTTTCTGACACAGGTAGGATGGCCAGTCCCCTTGTCTTTTCACCTTTACAAGCTGTTACTAAATCAAATAAACCTAATAAGGAATCCAGAAGAACAAATGTGTGTTTTTCTTATTGTTTTAATTCCCAATCAGTCAATCAGTTAATAAAAATACAAGTAAGGGTAATGGAACCCCCGGTCTCCATTACGCAAAATTAGAGAGGGGATAGCGTAACATATGAAGCGGGAAAAGACTGCCATGTAATCCATGTATTTCAACAAAGTAACTGTATTCTAATTATCACAGCATTAAGGAATAAATACAGGATGGATAACTTGTTACTGTACATACATGAGGATATACACGAGAAATGTAGTATTTATATTTTCCATTCTTGACTCGTTTGTCTCTTAACATTGGTCTTTCCTCTCACATATCAAAAGTATTATTTTATTCTATGAAAACAGAAAAAAGATAAACAAAACTAATAATACACAATTTATTTCTTGAAAGACATAATTTCTTTATGTGGGATATGAGCACAAACATCCGTGTCCTTGGTTTTAATACCTTACTATATGCAGCTGCAGTCTTTTCCGATGTCAGATGGAGGAAATGCAACCTCAGACAGACAACAATCAATCAGTCAGCGTTGCCACATCCTCTTTCACTGGCTGCATATTATCCTCCTATTCCAGACAACTGGTCCAACATTAACTTCTACTGTTGTTGTGCAGCTATAATTTTCCACCAAGTCGCTGAAAAGAGACTGAAAAAGCAGTTGAATCAGTCACCAGCCACATTTTTAGGTATCAAATCTGAATTATAGAAACATAATTACTAAAAAATGTCTAATAGCCACAAATATAACAAGTAGAAATTATATTTCTGAGGTTACAAAATCGAGTGTGGAGTATTTGAGAGTAATGAAACTGAACCGTAGAACTGCCTGAGCTAAACCCACCGAACACACATTTCAGTCATGACTTGTTGATTCCACTTAGCCACGGCTTACAAAACCCAATATGACGCTCTTTGTGTCATTCCCATAATCTAAAATATGTAGTGATGATCATGAAATATGTGACAGGGAATGTTACACACTGTTTGACATTTTATTCTTCATTCAGCTGTGTCATTTTAATTGATTATACCAGCCATCTTCCCGCGGTCCGCAGCTGAATGTGTGTGCTCTGAACTAAGCAGACAGCGGTTGTACAATCCCTGTGCTTTTACTTACTGATAAATGAATATGGCAGAAATATTGTCTGGGAAAAGCAATTCCTCAGGCGTCACAACAATTCTTGCCCTCATTTTTCACATCCATTGAGAAACTGAAGGGAGGAATGTGACTGCTGCACTGAGAGACACTCACAATGACCCACAACTGACTTTTGTGTGGGGCTAACCTTTTCCTTTTCTCAAATCATGATGGCTGCATGCAGAAATGTGTCCCATGTTACGATTGTTTAGGTGTAAGAAATGATGGATAGAGTAGAAAGGGAGAGTAAAGAGAGAAGCTCTAAATGTTTCCATTATCTCAGAGTTCAGACCCATCCATCTGTTTCCGCCTCTATGACTTATCTCTGTGTTGGAGGTTAGGGGTACTTTGCATGAAGATTAAGTGTGCTTTGTGACAATTGTGCCCATTAAGAAAGACTGATGGGCTGGTTTACAGACATCTGACCTTTGGGCCATAAAAAAAGGTTCACTGAGGAACACTGAGGTCGACTGGCAGATATCTGATTCCTGAACATTTTTGTTTCTGCTGATAGTCAACTAAATGGCAGGATACTGAAGCTGCAGGCTTAAGCTAGTGCCCGACATGCTTTGTTCTACATCATCCCTGGAAGAACCAAAGGCAATCTCCCTACACTATATTTTATGTTATTAGGGCTAATCAGCGGCAGGGTTGAATTCTAATGAGCCATCCTCCTCTTTAATAATTGTGCAGTAATTAATTGATTATTCCCACCTGCAAATTCAGAGGTCACAGTCAGTTACACAACGGCATGACTTTAGCTACTGAGTGCCCCCCCTCAAGGACACCTGAGCATCTTGTGTTTTAAAGTAAAAGGCTGGAGATGGAGTGAAGCCTCTCTTCTCTGTGGCTCTTGTTCTATGTGAAAATGTAAATGGGGCTTCTTTCTTTTTTTCTTTTATTTCAAGGACTTCTTCAGTTTCAAGCACCATGTTTTTCCAAACGAATGCTTCTCCAACAGGAGGTGTTGTTGTTGGAGACTTTTATCAGGTGTGGGCTTCGTGTTCACATGAATGCTTCCAAGAGGACAAAGAAAGGCTGAAGGGTTACCCTGGCTTAAGAATAGAACAGAAATGCGCTTTTCAGTGTTTTTAGTTTAGAACATGGAGCTAAAAAAGAAGGAGAAGCTGGATTGAAAGTGACATAAAAAGCAGTGATAATAAATTCGTCACCTACATGTGCAAAGGTCGTTTTTTACATTTATAATGAACATACAGTAAAAGAAAACTCAACTTGGCTGCGGTGCGCATGCTGAAAGGAGAAATGCAAAAATTAATTCCCCGCACAAATTAACAATTGATCGTTTAGCTAGAAGCGAGGAAACGCGCTGACACGAATGCAGCTCTAAAGTAAGCTATTAAAGGCCGAATGAATGATTCATGTTTAGCAGCAGCAGCCTTCTTTGCTCGTGTTTCTATTTGGCTTTAAAATGTTTCATTACTGAAGTTTTTCAGCGCTGCGGCTTCGTGGCGTGCGTGTAATAGAGGCGTCCCGTGCGCCACCGACACTGATGACAGACACCGTAAATAATCTTGAAAAGAGGGTGAATTACCGACACTATCGGGGCTATAAACCTGTCGCGCGTGAAAACTGAAACGGCGCGATACGCGTCACGTTGATGAATCCTCGAAACCTGCGGCTGCACCTGCCCAAAACTCCACAAATGAGCCGGGTGTCGACGCTGACCCGCTGCTTGGATCGCGACGAACTCCCCGCCTCATCCCCCACCACTCCCCTCTCCGCCTCCCCCCGTCTCTGTCCTGCTCATAAATCTATTGGTCGTGGTCTCGCCTTCACTATCCAGCACTGTGCTGATCAGACTGCAGTTATATTTGGAGGAAGTTGGCAGCTGGCGGCTCGCGGCGAAAGGCTTTCCTCTCAGTGGAATTATGAACACAGCTCACAGAGTCTCTATCGCCCTGTCTTGAAGCTGTTTGTGTTTCGCACCCAGAGAAATTTTACCGACCATGGAGATTGGAGTCTGCGTTCTCTTGGCTTTTCTCTTCCACCAGGTAAGACAGACGAGATGTGTGCGCGCGTGTGAGGGATTTGGGGACTATTTCACGGAGACTGGGAGCGATCCCACGCTCTTTTTATCCTGGTCTCACCCGGGCTACCCTTGTGTGTTAATGGCGCAAACATATGTGTTGTCAAGTTTGTCCCGCGTCTGGAAATGGCTCACGATGCATCACCTGCACAGCCAGGTCCATCCGTGCAAGTTTATTCCCGTTTAGTCCTTCTTGCGCGCGTCTGACTGTCGTTTAGGGCTCCGAGTTTGGGGCAGAGGATTTAGAGGGTCTGGCAGTGTGCGCGGGGTTCGTTCTTTAGCAATGCCTTTCACATTTTGTCCAGAGAAAGAGAAAACAGGGGAAGGAGAGAAACTGGAGATGGGAGAAGACTGAAGCCGAGCGCAGGGTGTGTGTCCTCTGTCTATGTGCAAATCACGGCACCAGCTCTTGTCTCCAGTCGCATCTATATTCCGCTCAGCCACCAACTTGAGCGTTTCTTTGGGCTTGTGAGGGTGTGAGTGTGTGAGCGAGGAGCACACAGGAGGAGAGGAGAGGAGGGAAAAGAGGGAAAGGCAGCGGGGGGTGTCAGAGACACAGAAAGAGGGGCAGTGAACTAACTTGGCCGCTCTGCTGTGTTGGGTATTTTTACTCAAGTCCACTGGTCTCTGCAGACGTGGGCTCCCTTGAGATATTTAATAAAGCCTTAATTCCCACTGCGATAGAGCCACTCGTCCGTTTGATCTGACTTTAATATGAAGAGAGGGAGCGGTAACTCGGAACAGCTGTTAATACCAGTCAAGTCTTTAGAGCAGGATTTCAGCACCGAATCTTCCTTTCGCCGTATTTTCCCCTGAAGAATCCTCCACCTGTGTGAACTCGAGCAAGAACGGATCCAGGTGCACAAACGCCTCTTTCCAGCCCTGATCTCTGACCTTCTCTTGCTGATGCATATTCATACATCCCTCCTGAAGATCATAACAAGTTTCCTTTGAAATAGTCCCTGTGGCTCTATTCGTGTGGCATGCTGCAAAGGTTTAAGCAGCAGCTAATTTTTAAAGCATCCTAGCTCAGACTATTTCTAAACACAGCAACGATGCGAGAGCCCCGAAGCGTGCCAGGCAAACAGCTCATTTGGGAAACTGTGCTGTGCTGCTTCTCTCGCTCCTCTCATCCTGTGTGTCTCTTGCTCGCCCTCATCTCAGTATTGAGAGGCAGCACAGCTCTGGTGCTATTTCTTGTTTGACCCGTGCAGGTTTAGTGCACACTTCCTGCTGTGCATTATATTCCCTTTTAATTGGATAAGCCATTGGTTGATTTCTACATTGTAGTTCAATTTGCTTGTCTGCTGAGATTCAGGTTAATAGTGTCTACAGAGAAATTATTTAACTCCCTATTTTACTGATTAGGATCTTGCACGCCTATGCTGCGTCTTATTCACACACATATGTTTTTATCTTTGTGAGAAGGCGTAGAGTCACTTACTCACCCTGGAAAACATAATGGAGAGTCCTATAAAATGTCTTTGGTACTGAGTCATTTTTAAAATTTGTGTTTCCAAAAACCTTCAAATGTGCTTTCCTTTAGCCTCTGCAGCTGATGGACAAATATTTATGTTACAATCTAAATCTTTGTCCTGTCAGACTGACAGCTAAGGTATATATGCACGTGGAATCCCCAAAATATAAATCATTCAAGGTGTGAATCCACACTGACTAATGCAAACCAGTGAAAACAGAAACATATGACAGGACTGTCGCCTGCAGCGATTTTCTTCCCCGTCTGGCCAAAAACAAACCAAACAGATTTTTATGCAAAATGTGAGTTACAGTCGTCTACTTGACTCATCATCCAGATGAATAAATATTCACAAACTTTCTGTCTTGTAGAACAACACATGCTGCAGCGTGCAGGCTCAAACTAGTTTCTTTAGAGCTTGTCAGACAGGTGGGAGCCAAACTCCACAGTAAGCTGCTGCACCCACCCACCACCCCCTCACACAGATATGCAGATATATGCACGC